AAAAAAAAAACTGCAAGAAAATAAAAAAATATTTAAAAAAAAAGAGTAGAATAAATGTCTTAACACAACAATTAAGTATATGAGGTGAAGGCTATGTTAACCAGTTTGATGTAAGCATTCCAAAGTGTATATAAAATCATCACATTGTACCCCATAAATGCATTAATGTATACAGGTATGAGTTAAATAAAAAAGTTACATCATTTATTTACTGTTCTCTATATTAATTTTCTGTGGCTGCTATAACAAATTACCACAAACATAGTGGCTTAAAGCAGCCCAGTATTATAGTCCAGTAGATCACAAGTATGGTGGGTTCAGCTTGTTTCTTTGCTTCAAGTTTCTCAAGGCCAAAGCAAGGCTCTTGGGAAGAAGCCACTTCCAGGCTTATTCAGGTTGTTGGTAGAATTCAGTTCCATGTAGTTATAGGAGTGAGGTCCCATGTTCTTCTAGCTGTCGACTAGGGCTTGTGCTCAGATATTGGAAGTCCCCTTTCATCTTGAAAGCCAGCAACAGTAAGGAGAGTCCTTGTCAAGCTTCTTATATCCTTTTGACTCTTACCCTCCTTGTCTACTTTTAAGGGCCCACATGATTGTACTGGGCTGGAATGGGTAACCTTAAGTCCATCCACGAAGCCCCTTTTGCCAGGTCATGTAACATGCTCACAAGTTCCCGGATTAGGATGTTGAAATCTTTGGGGGGAGGGCCATTATTCTGCCTACCACCTGTTCCATCCCTGTACAAAACTTTCTCATTGTAATAAACTTAGCTTTGAAAAAATATTTGAACATTACATAAGAATGGAATGAAATATAATTCTACACATATCATTATTCACTAGTTCTAGAAAATTATTTCAAAAAATAGGACGATTTGCCATTCCTCAGTTCTTTAATCAGCTATCTTTTTTTTCCATTACATTTGTCACTAAATATGTATTTGTCTGTCCATCTTCTCTTCTGGAAAGGGGCAGGTACTGAGTCTTGCTTATCTTTGTGTTTCTAGCATCAAACAGGGTACCTGGCACACAGTAGGTACTTAATGCAGAAGAAATAGATACTGGTTGTTACATACTCAAAAATGGTAATAAGTAGGGTTGGTGGTGTTTATTTTCTTGAAGGGGCTTCTCTACTAATAATGTCAGTAAAAAGATTAAAACTCCCTTATGTAAAAAGCTACAAAGATAGCTAAATGATGTTAATGACTAGTTTTTTTTCCCCCAACAAATACATGTTTGAAATTACATCCCCAGTCTTTGCAAACGAACTGAATTAATAATATGAGCTCTGACTATGTGCCAGATACTGTGTTAAATATTTCACAAATATTTAATCAGCACAAAATTGAGAGTTGTTATTTGTTGATTGCTTACCACACATCAGACACCATCCTGAGTTCTTTAAATGTAAAAATCATTTATACCTCTAAAATAAAAGACTTTTTTTTTTCTCTACACTCACAATACTTCTAACACCAAATAAGTGGGGGGTTTTCCACACCAATCAATTCTTCAATTCTCTGGTTACCAGCAGGTATCCTACAGTTTAAGTCAATTCTGACACTAAGTGCCTTGGGTTGGCTCAGATCCTACAGGTTAAGGCTCAGTCCCATGAGACTGCCCTCCCTTCAGACACTAGTTGCAAGTACCCAGGTTGTGACCTTGTACTTCTGACTTACTGGCTACATATCAGGGGTTCCTAAGGCCCCCTCCTAAGGTGCAAATATTTGCTAGAATGACTCACAGAACCCAGGAAAGCATTTTACTTACTATTACCAGTTTATTATAAAGGATACAATTTAGGAATGACCAAATGGAAGGGATGCACAGGGCAGGAGATGGGGATGGAGGTGTGTGGAGCCATCTTGGAAGCTCTCTGTACCCCACTATTTGGGGTTTTATGGAGGTGCCGTTGCATAGGCATGGTTGATTAAATCATTGGTCATTCCAGTGGTGAGTTACTCAATCTCTAGTCCCTGTCTCTTCCTGGAGATCAGGAGTGAGGCTAAAAGTTCTAATCTTCTAATCACATCGTTGGTTCCTCTGGCAACCAGCCTCCATCCTCTAAGAGTCTTATCTTATTAGGATTAACTCAGGTATGGTTAAAAGGGGCTTATTATGAATAAAAAAGATGCTCCTCCCACCTCAACCACTCAGGAAATTCCAACAGTTTTAGGAGTTTTATACCAGAATCTAGGGTGAAGACAAATGGATATTTCTTATTCCTCCATGAGGTAGGAAATTGTTTATGTCTCCATTTTACAAATGAGGGCACTGAAGCACAGAAAGGTTAGGTAACTTGCCCGCCATCACACAGCCAGGCAGGACCCAGGTAGTCTGTTGAGAGAGCCTGTGATGTCCACACCTCTACCTCTTAGGGTCCTCCATTGCTTTTGAAACATTTCACAGAGAAACTGAACTGGTGCATGGCCTTGAAAGATGAATAGAGGTAGCCAGTTAGGTGTCATGATAGGGAGAAAATGAGAGGTATTCCAGGCTCTAGAAGTAGCCTGAGATAAAGACATGAGGTATGAGCCCTTCTGGTGGAAATGCAGGGTTTGAGGGTGAAGAGGTGAGAAAGAAAGTTCCGTTTTGCTGTGGGCAGCACTGGGCAGCACGGGAATGGAAATCCAAGAATCCCTAAATTCAGCCAAGAAGGAAGCCCCGCCCCCCCACCCCCGCAGCAACCTCTGCTCAGCCTTGTGCTGTTTGGACCCCACAGAATGGCCTCTCCTGGCTTCTCTGTGTTGGCAGCTCAGATCATGTGGTGAAGCCATTGTTGGTTATCTTCTGGGTCAGCTTAAAAAATTAGTTCTATTCCACTGAACCACCCGGATTTCCCCAAAGCTACCGAATGTGGATTTATCTAAGTTCTTCCTGTACATGCTTCTGGCACTATCTCTTGAACAAAGAAGTTGTTTAATGTCCTTTTTACAAGGTTACACTTTTGATTTGTCCTAAATTTACCCCTAGCCCTTAAGGGTCATCTTTTAGTTGGGATTTGCTGTGGAGTTCAAGGTCACTTTCTCTTAGTTGTAGATTACAGGCCTATCTTTCTGAGGCCTTCAGATCTTTTGTTAGTTTGGTCAAATAGAAGCCCCTCCTTTGTTTAGCTCAGTTTAATTGACCCTTTGGGGCTTATATTAGTCTCTTGTAGCTTCTTTGAGATGAGATGAGAGCTTCAGTATTCTAGGTGATCATAAATGCTTGTGATTTTGTAGGGGTGACGGCAGGTTTGTGTTTTATCGTTGATTTAAGGGAAGGAATGGAAGAAACTGACTTTGGGGGACTTGTTTTGTCCCTGATGGTTTATGAATCCTTCCTGATGATGTTTATCATTTTGCTAGTTTATTCTTTAGTGAAATTTTATACGTACTACTTAGAATAGACAGCATAGAGCAGGGGCTCTCAAACTTTTTAAACAGGGGGTCAGTTCACTGTCCCTCAGACCGTTGAAGGGCCAGACTGCAGGCCCCGGAACCATTGGGCTGCTAAGCAGGACAGGCAGCGGCGGCAAAAACAGCTGCAGGCCAGATAAATGTCCTAGGCGGGCTGCTTGTGTCCCACGGGCCCTAGTTTGAGGACGCCTGGCTTAGAGACTATCGCTTTATAAAGAACTAGTTTTTCCCATAAAAATATTTGCTTATCAGAAAGATCATCTGGTACTTTTCTAGTCATGTGGCATTTTGAAAGCTTCTTACAGTTGTCATTGGATTAGTGGTCGGATACCCAAAGGAATGATTGATCTGCAAGTAGAGATATTTCTGTGCCTTCTTTCTTCCAAATGATTTATAAAAAATGTAAAATAAAATTGGTCTCTGGGGTCTCTCCTTATTTATATTTCCTCATCCACAGAAGGGCTTGTTTAAGCCATTTCCATATCCGTCACTAAACATTCCTGAAATACCATGAGGATTCAATTTTTAAAAATAATCTTCGCTGTTGGGAACTTTAGGAATGTAAATAGTGCTTGCTAATTTCCTTCTTTCTACTTGTCTATATGCTTAGCTTCTCAAAGAACTCTGATCAATTCTTGGTGTTACTATTACAGGTAGAATTAACATCTACTGTGATTTAGAACTGCTCATAATTTTGGTTCAAGTTTTATTTGGTGATTGTTTATTGTCCCTCACTTGAAGAGTTGTGGTATTAAAAGAGGATAAATGATAAAAATGGGTATTCTCCACAAGCCATCTGTACTTCTCAGAGCCCCAGTACTGCCCTCAAATTGCTGTATTCAGTCTGAGCTTTATATTAATTGTGCTGTTTGTAATACCTGCACCAGACAGATTTCCTAAACCTCAAGTGAATGTTTGAATTTGCAGATTATTTTAAAAATTCAGTGATGGAAACATTTGAGTTGGAAAGGCTTGAGAGGAACAGCAAGAAACTTGCTACTTGAGGGTAGATAAAATAATAGAATTGCTGGTCAGGGCTCTGTTTCCCCTGCCCACTGACCCCACTTGCCTAAAACTGGTAGGGAAACCGGTTACCTTTGACACCTGGAGCATAATGCCTGGATAAGGACCACAGAGAAGCCTTGGATGGTTTGTCAGGAAACTCAACAAACTGTGGTTTCCCCAGGCCTGCTTGGTGGGGGTGGGGGGCTAGAAGGTTGGTTTTACACATGCTCTAAAAATATTCTCTATAATCAATTTGAACTTATTAGGCTCAAGACTATTTTAGGGCAATTTATCTGCTGAAAGGTATTTTGAGGAAAATTATAATAAAAACCCCAAAGAAATTTTGTACTACCTTTAGTTGATCTACCCACAGACATAAATAAGCCTTTTTACTTTGAGGACTGATTTTTCTGCCTTTTAGGTTTATTCAGTGTCTGCTCAAATATTACCTCCTAGTATATCTTTGAAACTTTGACAGTATGAGATGTTTGACTATGAACTCTAGGTCTACAAAAATTATAGTTTGAAAAGAAGCTTTCTCTCCCTTCTTTAAGATCCCTTTTGTGCAACTAAGCATGTGTCCTCTTGTTTGTTCCTAGGATGGCCCAGATTCTGCCACAGGAAACCGGACAAAGCAGGAGAGTGCGTGGATATTCAGGCTGTGGTACAGCTTTGACCATAAGTATCCTTTTAAGCGGCATCCCCTATGTTGGTGGAACATTGACAATGAAATCCTCTTGTTGAGTTGCTGTTGAATGATTTCTGATGAGTAAGGAACAGGTGTAGTCTCAGTCCTCTCATGGGACATACATGGATCATTCAACCACAGGCAGTCCTGGTGAGTGTCTCTCTGGCCAAGAGGAATGTTTGCATCTCCTTAGAGTAAGCAGCCCATAGCCTGGTAGACTCATCTGGCTCTTGAGAGATTTAATATCCAGGGGAGCATGCCTTTGTAGGTAAATTAAGTTAAAATTATACAATTAATCATGCTGTAGTCAGGAAGAGAAATGGAGCTTTAGCTGTTAACATACATAAGGAGGATAATTCAAATCTTATCTTGTATGAGTTGATACTGACATGAGTGGGCCACATCCGAGGTAGACCCTGTTCAAATAGATTTATCACTTGGTCCCAGATAAAAATTAAAAACCAAAAACTTAAACCTTCATGATTTCTTAAATTTACATAGTGACTTATTGTATAGATGGTCTTTGGAGACTTGGGAAATGTTTAGGATTTACTTTTTTTTTAATGAGACAATGTATTGCTCTGTAACTCAGGCTATAGTGCAGTAGTGTCTTTTTTGCTTATTGCAGCCTCCAACTCCTGGGCTCAAATGAAGCCATCCTCCTGCCTCACCTTCCCAAGTAGCTAGGACTATAGGTATATACCACCATGCCCAGCTATTTCTTTTTTTAGAGATGGGGTCTCACTATGTTGTCCAGGCAGGTCTCAAACTCCTGCCCTCAATCATTCCTCCCATCTTGGCCTTCCAAAGTGCTGGGATTATAGATGTGATCCATTATGCCTGGCCAGAATTTTTTTATTGAAATATAAAAGGCATACAGGAAAGTACACAAATTGTAAATTCTTGGTAAATTATCACAGAATAAACACACAAATTTAACACCAACCTGGTCAAGAAATACAAAATTACCAGCTCCCCTAATGGTGTCACCCAATTAGTACCCCTTCCCCCTCCCCAAATGTATCTACTCTCCTAACTTCTAGCAACACTTAATAGTTCTACTTGTTTTTCAACTTTATATGAAAAGGATTATACAGTATATATATCTCAATGCCTGGTTTATGGGGCTTGATGTCATTTGTCATTCATCTGTGTTGCTATGTGTAGCTCTAGGTTATTTGTTCTCATTGCTCCATAGTGATTCATTTTATGAATATATCACAATTTATTCTATTATTGATGACTATGTGAATTGTTTCCAATTCATAACTACTATGAAAAATACTTCTGTGGGCTCGGCGCCTGTGGCTCAAGTGGCTAAGGTGCCAGCCACATACACCTAAGGTGGCAGGTTCGAATCCAGCCCGGGCCTGCCAAACAACAATGACGGCTTCAATCAAAAAAAAAAAATAGCTGGGCGTTGTGGTGGGCGCCTGTGGTCCCAGCTACTTGGGAGGCTGAGGCAGGAGACTCGCTTGAGCCCAGGAGTTGGAAGTTGCTGTGAGCTGTGATGCCATAGCATTCTACCCAGGGGGACAGCTTGAGGCTCTGTCTCAAAAAAAAAAAAAAAGAAAGAAAAACTTCTGTGAACGTTCTTGTACATATCTTTTGGTGAATGTATACAATGTATTTTTGTTGCAAATATATCCAGGAGTGCAATTACTGAGTCATAGGACATGAGTAGGTTCAACTTTAGAAGATAGTGCTAAACAGTTTCCAAAATAGTAGTACTGCTTTACCCACTCACCTCTAGTGTATGGGAGTTTCAGTTGTTCCACCTCTTCACCAACAGTTGGTATTTGTCAGTCTTTTGAATTTTAGCTATTCTAGTGGATTTATAGTGGTATTTTATCATGGCTTTAATTTGCATTTCTCTGATGACTGTAGGGTTGAGCACAGTAACATATATACTGACCATTTGGTATGTTCCTTTAGACCAGTGGTTCTCAACCTTCCTAATGCTGTGGCCCTTTAATACAGTTCCTGTGAGTCACGACCCACAGGTTGAGAGCTGCTGCTTTAGACATACCTATTCAAGTCTCTTGCCCATTTTTCTATTCAATTGTCTGCCTTTTTCTTACTGATTTGTAAGAGTTCTTTATGTATTCTGGATGTGAATCTTTTGCTGATTATATGTGATTAAAATATCTTCTACTTTGTAATGTGCCTTTTCACTTTAAATAGAATCTATTTTAATGAACAGAAGGTCTTAATCCAATTTATTGACCTCTTCCACTCTAGTTAGTATATTTTATATTCTTTTTGGAAGTCCTTACCTACCCCAAAGTCATGAAGCCAATTTCCTATGTTATCTTCTAGAAGCTTTATTGTATATCTTCTGTGCATTTTTTTGGTCTATACATATACATGTGTTTATTTGGTTTCCAATTTTTGCCTTCACAAAATTAAAAAGGCTTACAATTTAATAACAATAACAATGTTTAAGATAAGGATTAGAAACAAAAACCTCATAAAGAACGAATGAAGATAAATACATTCAGAAAAGAAATCAGACGATTGCTGCAATGAAACATTGAGCAATAGTAAAATAATAATGCAAAAAAAGTAACATTCACATCATCAGATAAGAGTATGTCTATCATAGAAGGCTTTGAGTCTTCTGTGCATTTTTTTAACTGAGGGACAGACATGGACAATGTAAAAATTTAGAGATAATTTGAGATACTCTGGATAAGGATATCATACTTCAGAGATGGTTTAAACTCACATCCTGTCAGTGGCTAGGCTAGGGGTGTTAGAAACTCTAGATTGCCTTAATCCAACGAAGGATAAAGGTGATGCAAAGCCAGGCATCAGTTCCTGTGAGGGTTAGTCTGTCTTTCTTGGCCAATTTTTTCTGGGTCCCCACCTAAACCCTGGGTGTTTATATCTTCTTCCTTGGTGAACCTTGAACTCTGATTTTTGTCAGACTCGTTCTGTCTTTGTGAATCTGCCAGATGCTCTCTGTTCAGCTTTGCAGGTGCCTTTAGGGAAATTGTGGCTCACGAAGTGTGAGGCTCAGCTCTTGGCTTTCCTCCTCCCAGACTCTGGCCCTCTTCACCTCCTTGGTGGCTTTCTGAAGCCATAAAGCAGATGATTTTGTCTTGTTTTATTTTGCCCAACTTGACTAGTTCTCAGTAGAAAGGTTGGCTCAAATTATCTTGTTTGCTATTAACTGAAAAAGAACCCCCAGGGATTTTTTTTAAAGCCACTTGAACTTAGTCTGTATTGTAATGCAGAATGCATGTTGCTCACTGGGCTCAGAAAGGATGTAGAGAGCAAATCGAACAGTGTCCACAGAAGAGTGACAAAGTGCTAAAATGCTAAGAAATCGATTCTTTGAATACAAACAGAAGTTCTTGCTAAAGTCCCATCTGAATCTAAATTTTAGTGACTTTGGGATTTCCACTTTTTAGTTTGGAGAAGAGAAACTAAGAAGAACATAAGCAGGCATAAAGACTCTGAAGAACTAGATGGGGAAGATGACCGTGATTCATTCAAAAGGTCCACAGATAATCTAACAAGAAAAAGTGGGCTTGGGCTGTATCAGAAAAGAGGTCAGTTGGACATGAATGACTCCCACAGACTGGTAGGAGGGAATGTGAGACCTCCTTCCCTAAACAAGGCACGTAACATGGGGTAGATGGGCTTCTAGTGTACAGTGAGAGACTCAGCACACACATATACCCTATTCTCTCCCCAGGACTCATGGAAATCACAGAAGAAATATTTTTATCTTCTTGGAAAACCAATAGTAGAGGGAATTATAACAAAGAAAACTGTAGCCCAAGATAAACCCAAGTCTTAGCCAGTCTTTCTGGGTGACTTATTAAAGAGTGTTGTCAGGAACAGCTGCAACAGGTACTTTCTGTGTCAACAGATCAACTAGTAACTGTTAATTTTCTCTTCAGGCCATACACCTGTAAAGAAAATAGAGCCACTGCCTGGGGAAGGCTTGTAGAGAAACAGATCTTAAGGGCACCAAAGATTTTTCTCCCCCAAAGTAATCCTCCTCCAACTTTGGCCATGGTAGGAGTCCCCAACCTGCCTGATGAACAGAGAAGCTAAATAAAGACATGAGAGGAGGGGTGCTACTCTCATGTAATTAAACAATTCCAAATATTTTATTTTTAATTTTTCTAAGAGTTGAGAGGTTTTTTCCAGTTATAATAAAAGAGATTATTAGAATGGTGCTGCCTGTGGCTCAAAGGAGTAGGGTGCCAGCTCCATATGCTAGAGGTGGAGGGTTCAAACCCAGCCCCGGCCAAAAACTGCAAAAAAAAAAAAAAAAAAAAAAAAGATTATTAGAAAAAGAAGCAAACAAGAATAAATTCTTAGAAATTAAAAATATGAAGTTTTGGAAATAAATTTAAAAATGTAATGGATAGGCTCGGTGCCCATAGCTCAGCAGTAGGGCACCGGCCACATACACCAAGGCTGACAGGTTCGAGCCCAGCCCTGGCCTATTGAACAACAATGACAACTGCAACCAAAAAATAGCCAGGCATTATGGCAGGCGCCTGTAGTCCCAACTGCCCAGGAGGCTGAGGCTAGAGAATTGCTTAATCCCAAGGATTTGAGGTTGCTGTGAGCTGTGATGCCACAACACTCTTATGAGAGCAACAGCTTGAGACTCTGTCTCAAAAAAAAAAATGTAATGGATAGTTTAACAACTTGAACATAATGAATACCACACTTTTCATCTGAAAGATAAACTTGGGGGGGGAAAATCCAAAAATCATAACAAATGTCAGAGGATCTATAAGAGGAGGAGAGTTTAAAAATGTAGAGCTGAGACCCAGGATAGAATCTGTGGAGAAAAAGATGTACCAAAGAAATAATGGAAGAAAAATTCCCTTATCTAAGAAAGATACTTGTCTCCAGAGTACAAGGGCCCACAAAGTGTGAGTAGGATGAATGGATACCTTCTGGGTACATTCCATAACTACCAGAGAAAAAGAGGGAATCTTTGAGGCTTCCATAGAAAAAAATAGGCAGCCTCCAAAGGATGAGAATCACTCATGGATACAACTGGATGTTAGAATATTGTATAACTGAAGAAAATTTTCAGTTTTAGGATGAAATAAAAGTCTGATCCTCAAGTTCTATACCTAAACTGTCAATCAAAAATAAGAGAATAGGGTGGCGCCTGTGCCTCAAAGGAGTAGGGCGCCAGCTCCATTTACTGGAGGTGGTGGGTTCAAACCCAGCCTGAGCCAAAAACTGTAAAAAAATAATAAAAATAATAAGAGAATAAAGGAGGGTATGTTTTAGACATGCAGGAATTCAGAAAGTTTAGTGACAAGCAGATGAGGATCCTTTATTTAGCAAGACACTCAAGGGTTTTCTCCTGACTGGCAAAGTTTAACAGTGTTTGGTTCTACAGTGAACATTCATATTATGATGTTATTACAAATGCTATTTTTTGGTTTTTAACATTTGGACACAGTCTATACAGAAAGTTTACTTATTAGTTATGAAATAGAAAGCAAATTTTATATATCTCCGTTATAAAATTCATTATAACAAAATTGAAAAAGAAGAAAATTAGAAAGCAGAGGCAAGAGTGTAAATGGATTAAACTTAATTATCTTCACATGAGAGCATGAACAGCCTCGAAGTAAAGTTTAGAAGTTATGAAATAAGAGGGAAAAATATGATAGAAATTTATAATCTTAATTACCAGAACAACTAGGGTAGGAAGGAGAGACTTGATGTTTCATTTTATGTTCTTTGAACAATTTGAATATTTAAAAGATTATATGTATGTATATACAGTAGAACCTCTGTAAGTTAACCACCCAAGGGTAACTGTAACAAACTGGTCAACACAGAGAGGTTATAAACATAAGGAGCGGCTCGGCGCCTATAGCTCAACCGGCTAAGGCGCCAGCCACGTACACCTAAGGTGGCGGGTTCGAATCCCCAGCCTGGACCCGCCAAACAACAATGATGGGTGCAACCAAAAAAAAAATAGCAGGCGTTGTGGCGGGTGCCTGTGGTCCCAGCTACTTGGGAGGCGGAGGCAGGAGACTCGCTTGAGCCCAGGAGTTGGAGGTTGCTGTGAGCTGTAATGCCACAGCACTCTACCCAGGGGGACAGCTTGAGGCTCTGTCTCAAAAAAAAAATAAATAAATAAATAAACATAAGGAACTAGGCCTACTGTACTAAACATAAGGTGCATGTCTAATCTGAAAACTAGGTCAACTTAAGGAAGTGGTTAATGGGAGGTGTTCAATTATGGAGGTTCTACTGTATGTGTGTGTGTGTGTATATATATATATTTCTTTGTTTTTAAGAAGTTGTTAAACGGTCCTCTGGATAAGGAGAAGAGAGAGCTTATCTTTGAGGGGCCTGAGGCAGAGAACTGAAGGGCAGCCTCAGGGTTCTCCTTGATACTTGCTTATTTGTCATTCTAGAGATCTGAGCCTCTGTCATCTTCTGAGACAAAGACACACCCAGAAAACTGATAGGCCTATAGGTGCTGGTCCCAAACTGGAGGAATGCCTGGCCTGCATCTCTCCCAAGCCATGTGATTCAAGGGAAGCAGTCAAAGGGGAGCTGGTTTTGTGTGGGAAAAGCTACAGCTAAGCCCTCACATCTTCCTTGGTTGAGTAATTCCAAACTAGAACATTCTCCCATATCTCCCTTCCATCTCCCCTCAAGAGAGTTGTGTTTCTCTGGTGCTGCTCTAAATGAATACAGGAATTGTTGGTGCTCGTAACAGTTGTCCTCTTAGGTGTATACAGCTGTGGCACGCCTCACCTTCCTAGTTTAAAAGCATCTTGGCCATCCCTGTAGTCAAGGCGGTCATCCCAGACCCCACCTTTTCCACATTGCTTAGGCTGTAGATCTCAGAAGTGGTTCAGGCTCTATCATAATGTGACTGGCACTTCCTGCTGCTTCCCACAAGGGGCTGTGCATTTACCATCACTGATACTCACTGAGCGACAAACCCTGAGCTCTCCACCGTCTGCTTAATCTAGAGCAGTGGTCACAACCAAGGGCAAATTTGCTCTCCAGGAGATATTTGGCAGTTTTTTTGGAGACATTTTTGATTATTATGGAAGCGGTGGTTAAGAGTGTTACTGACATCAACAGATGGTGCCCAATTTATAATGGTTCAACTTACAGTTTTTCAACCTTATAATGATGTAAAAATAATACACATTCAATAGAAACCATACTTCATGTACCCAAGCAGCCATTCCGTTTTTCACTTTCAGTACAGCATTTGATAAATGACATGAAATACTTGATACTTTATTATAAAATACACTTTGTATTGGATGACTTTGCCCAATTGTAGGCTAATGTAAGTGTTCTGAGCACAGGTAAGGAGGCGAAGCTAAGCTGTGATGTTCAATGTGGGGTAGGTATATTAAATGTGTTTTCAACCTATGATATTTTCAGCTTTCAATAGGTTTATCAGGATGTAGCCCCATTGCAAGTCAAGGAGCATCTATGGGTAGAGTCCAGGGATGCTGCTCAACATCCTACCAAGCACAGAACAACCCCCCACAACAAAGAATGATCTGGCCCCCAATGTCAGCAGTATCAACGTTGAGAGGTCTTGTGCTAGAATCTGAGAGAGAAGCCACAGGCAGAGGGAAGAATAGTTCTGTATGGGAAGTTGGGAGACTATGGTACAAGTAACCGTACTGAAATCATTTTACCTTTCCAAGTCTCGGTTTCTGCCTTTGTAGTAGCCCCAGCCTACTTCTAAGGTCCTGTCCAACTCTAGCATTTCTACCATGTGCCCTCTGGATAGAGTGGTTTATAGGAATACTTGTAGAGAAAAAGAGCAGAGGGGACCTAGGGGCCACAACCCCTGTTTCCAAGGCCTGGGTGGTTTGCATGTTAGAAGCCAAAATGATTGAAATAAAAACTCATTCAACCTGACAAAGAAGAGAGAAAGGGGTTCTAATTAATAAAATATACTGTTTAACTGAAAATTGGTAATCATTCAACCTGGTAGTTAACAGTTACCATTTAAGGCTAATAGGGTATAGCTTACTATTTGAATGAAACTGTTGTAGGTTATAAGTATTTCCTATATTGTACTGGGGAAAAAGAAGCTTTTTGTGGGTAGAATGGTGGACAATTTACTATGGGACTTTTAAACACATTGGGGGTGGGGGCATGTTCTTTGCAGCCATTTTTCCTTAATTCCCATTTTAAAGTTACTTGAAGCCCATCCTCACACACAGTGGCCCCCCACTAACCACCACTCTCCCTGCCTGGTGTGGCTTGCTAGCTCGATGTCTGACCAGTCCCCAAGTGTACGACGTAAGTATCTGACATGTTAGGGTTATAGTGCTGCTGACCATGCCCCCTTACATAGGAAAAAGAAACCATCATACTCCTGACTGCAAATTCACAGACTTTGTTCCTTTAATGAGATGATTAGAAAAGGCCAGCTTACATATGTTTGTATGTTTTTCACTGTACCAGAGAAACTTTTTACCAGGGTTATGGGATTCCCCAACATTGACAGCTATGGTATAGTAGAAAGAACAGTAGATTTGGAATCAGAACAACTAAGTGGAATCCAGGCCCTGAAAGGCCATAGAAGTGTTCTGTGCTTCAGTTTTCTAATCTGTAAAATGGGCCTAGCAGTACCGGCTGGCTGTGAGAGTTAAACAATGAGGTCTGTACAGATGCACTGTAAAGGGCGGCACCTGTGGCTCAAAGGAGTAAGGCGCAGGTCCCATATGCCGCAGGTGGCAGGTTCAAAAAACCCAGCCCCCCCCCCCAGAAAAAATGCACTGTAAACTACAAAGCATTTCACAAATGTTAAATGTTACTTTTATAAATGGTTCATTTATGTTGATGTGGTTAGCCCTTTCTTCCCATTTTCAAATTCTAGAAATAGACTCAACACAGTATAAAAAGAACACCCACACTGGTGGAGAGCTTAGATTCAGGGCTGGCTCTTGAGCTTCTCATGTGGGTTGCAGGGCAGAGAAGTGGGAAGAGCAAGCAGCTCCAACATGGAGAGAGTGGAGGAGAGGCCAGAGGCCTTCCTTCCCACTTCTGCCCAGCCATCCTCATGAGCTTGTCATTAACACAATCATTATACCAAAAGAGAAAAGAATTCCTTAAATTGGTATACAGCTTTACAGGTCACAGAGGCTGATTTTGTTCTCTTGGCCATACCATGAATAAGCAGGTACCACAGTGTCAGAGATGAGGACAGTGCTCAGTGATAATGTGACTTGTCCACTATCAGTAATTGGCAGAGCTGGGACCATAAAGCAGGTCTTGAAATACTTAGCAAATGGCTTGTAGTTTACTTGATCAGTGATGAGAAAACAGAACGCATAGCCCAGGTCGGAGAGAGAAGGGCCCTTAACAGGTAAGTTCTCACAGGAGTCGTACACATTCAGGTGGGACAGATGGGAAGGGATCTGGACACCATAGCTAGGTGGGGACTCTGAGGTAAGGGAGGGTAGCCACTTCAGAGCACCCAAGATTAGAGGATTACAATTCCTTAAATGGTGTGGTCTTCCTTCAAAAACAGGCATGACAACTGCCAAGTCACCATGAGTCCTAAACCAGCTACTGCTATGCAGTGCGAGAGCCTCCCAGAGAGTAAGCACTGTTCATGTCTGTCATCCCAAGGCTCTCAGGCCCCTCCCTGGCTGCTTTGGAAGAAGGTGACTATGAAAACACGTGGTGGGCAGTGACAGAACTTTCTTTACACCTGCAAACCCAGCTGAGAGACTGGGTTTACCCCCTTGGGAGAGCAGGTTCTGTGTGGTAAAAATGCAGTCCTGCCACAGCCTTTTGTTTAAACTTTCACAGGCGGTGCCTGTGGCTCAGTGAGTAGGGCGCTGGCCCCATATACTTAGGGTGGCAGGTTCAAACCTGGCCCCGGCCTAACTGCAACCAAAAAATAGCCGGGTGTTGTGGTGGGTGCCTGTAGTCCCAGCTACTCAGGAGGCTGAGGCTGGAGAATCACTTAGGCCTAGGAGTTGGAGGTTGCTGTGAGCTGTGTGATGCCATGGCACTCTACAAAGGGCAACAAAGTGAAACTCTGTCTCTACAAAAAAAAAAAAAAACTTTCACCAAATGTGACCCACAGCAGCTATTCACATCCCCTTTTCTTAAAGACAATTGAGCCTTCCAGTGTCCCCAGCTCCTCTCTTTATCAAAATAAAATTCCTGTGCCACCTGTAATAAACTGGTTTTAAGTTAGAAAAAGAAATGAGTGGGATGATGAGAATACCATTTCCCTAGAACTGTTCCTAGTTCTTTTTTTGTTTTTGTTTTTGAGACAGAGTTTCATTTTGTTGCCCTCGGTAGAGTGCTATGGCATCCATCATAGCTTACAGCAACCTGAAACTTGTGGGCTCAATTGATTCTCTTACCTCAGCCTCCTGATTTGCTGGAGCTATAGGTGCCCACCACAATGCCTGGCTATTTTAGAGGGGACTATGTTTGGGCTGTGGACACCCCACAGCCAACCTCAGATAGGGTGACTTGGGCTCCAGCAAGAATCACCTTCAGCACTGCTGCTGCTGCTGCTTTGGGCTGGGGTTCGCCCCAGGGTCTCATCCAGCTGCTGAGAGAGACGGAGGAGCTCACTGCAGATGTCAGTGCCAGGGAGGACCTAACAGCAAGCAGTTCCTTTTGCTGTTTACACATGTTACGTGGTTCTCACTCATTACCTATGGAGTGTTTTGTGCTTTGTCAAGTTTATTTGGCAAATGAATATCTAAGATACTCATCCGTCCTTATTTCCACTAACTCTTAAACCACTTAGGTTTGATATCCACCTAGAAAACAGTGTTCTCTCACTAATAAAAATGACCTCTGGTTATTTAAAATGCACACATTCCCACAACACTGTTGTCTGCAGGTGTTTTCAGGGTTCTTTCACTGCATTTCATAGCAACCTTCACTGCACAGCTAGTTGTATAATTATACAGACTTTTCAGCCTAAGAAAACTTGCATTGATTCTATCATCCAGCATTCAAGGAAGTAGGCTGGCTTCATCATCTGCATATAACATTATTAAGCTGGGGCTTGGGAATCACTCTCCATGGGTTTTACTATGTCCTTGTTTCTGAATGCCCTTTCCATGGTTGCTAGGTCTGAGCTTGTGAGTTGTAAATGGAATGGATCAACAGAAACGTTCAGTGGTTTATCATCTGTCTGGAGAGTCCAGGCAGTGACTAGGAGAATCTGCCCATAGCCTTGGACAGCATGACTGAGCAGGGCATGAGGAGGTCAGGGAGCCTGGTTTGGTATCCTACAGGGCCTGTGTGTAGAGAATGTAGGACTTCCAATGAACTTAGAACTACTGGCAGGAAATAGGAGAGAAAAGAAGAGTTTATCTGGTGCATTTGACACTCACTGTGTGTTGGTTATTCAAAGCCATCTGCAGTGTTTGACAGGCCTCTGGGCAGCCTGGAAGCTGAGTCATGGCCCTCCCCTTATTTGGCTTGTTAAACTTATTGGAGGGTGAAAGGTTCTGTCCGACCTCTCACTGCCTCCCAGCACTCTCCCCATCATCTCATGGTTCAAATAACTGTCACTTTGCTAAGGCCTGCCTTGTTTAGCCTTGTCTGTTTTGCCACAACTACTGCTTTATATGACATGCCATTCCTGTCCTTTTCCTGATAGGGCAATTTTTAACATTCTTCATGTGGGTAAAACCATGCAGGGGCAACCATAACTTCTAATTGTGCTTCCTATCAGCTGGACAACTTCAGGCACATTTCACAGGTTCTCTTAGCTCAGGTTTTCTGCTCTGTGATAAGAATATTCAAGCCTTCACAGGGGAAGGGTGAGGATCAAATGAGAGCTTATGTGAAATCCCTGGGAGGCACATAATACATGCTTAACAAAATATTCACTCTCTCCCTGTTACTTGTTTCATCCACCTGAGGATGTAAAGGGGCGGGCTTGCCATCAGGGATTTCCTATGGGAACAGCAGAGAGGAAAACAGGGAGAAAATCTAATTATGATTTGTCCTCTTCGTCTCAGTTTGCTGACTAAGTCAAATAGTAGTTCGGATATTAAAAAGGTGGGTTTGGCATGGTTTGTGTAGAGCAGGAAACCCAGCCAGAAGGCCTGCTCAGAGAAGACATGGAAAAGGAGGTCGCTGCCCTTTAGTGGTTTATCATCCAGACGGGGATTCTGGTGTTCTAAGTCCTAGCCCCAGCAACAATCTCTTATATGGAATAGCACTCTACAGTTTACATCCAGTCCACATGCTAGAAACTCTGGGCAGGCAAATTTCATAATCCCAGTTTTCAGATGAAGCATTGAGGTAGGGTTGGCTCTAGCCCTGCAGGATATCAGTTTCCCATTTTTGTTGTTGGTGGTGGTGGTGGTTGTGTTTTTCAGAACCAAGAGCCATTGCGAGAGGAAGACTCTGATTTCATCCTGACCGAGGGTGACCTCACCTTGACCTACGGGGACAGCACAGTGACTGCGAATGGCTCCTCGGGCTCCCACACAGCCTCCACAAGTCTTGAGAGTGGTCGGAGAATGAAGAGTAGCTCCGAGGAAGTGCTGGAGCGAGACCTGGGAATGGGAGACCAGAAGGTTTCAAGCTGGGGCACCCGCCTCGTGTTTCCACTGGAGGATAATAACTCGTGACTTCCCCTCAAACCCTGAAGTGATGGGGTAGCCTCCCAGTGGGGTGAGGATGGCTGCAAGCCCCAGTGTTTGAGGTGGGGCATTGACTGGATTGAACTAACACTTCTACTTTATTGGGGTCTGAAGCTATCATAATGCTTAAAATTTAACCCAAGATGCAGATGGTGAGGCAAAGTATCTATAAGACAAATGCAGACCTATTCCCAATTTTCACGTAGTGTTTCAGAGTTAAACAAAACAGCATGCTTTAATGGTCTCTTAATTCATTCGCCTGCAGTATCTGAACAAGGTTGAAGCAGGTGCTGGGGATTCCTCCCACAGAGGCCACATCTCAATACACAGCCGTGCAAGTCTAGCTGGCCATAGGAATATCAAGTTAGGGGATAACAGGCTAGAAAAAAATCACAAGGGGATGGAAATTGGACCTCCAAGGATTGTGGGAAATGGTGTTAAATGGGACAGAAAACTTGAAAAAGCAATTTGAGTGGAGGCTCTGGCAACAAAATCAGAGTGACTGCAACCTCCTATCAGGATTCCTGACTTTCATGCTACCTGTGTTTCTTCTAGACTGAAGATCTGAAAATATATCCATGAAAATTTCAACATGGAGGCAAGAACGATAGTTTCTTCTCTGGAAATCTCCATAAAGAAGTTTCTGAAATGTTTAAAACCAAAGGCAAATAGTGTTACACTGTTGTTTTTAAATTAATGTGAGGAAAGGGGGTATTTAGAAACTGATGATGATACCACTGCAAAAAGCACTCACCATTTGAGAGCTGCCATATGAACCAACTGCCTGGGAAATGATTACTGGGACTGAGGTATCTACTGTGGACTCAGAAATAACCCCAAAATTTGTAGGATGCTTTTATCTGGAAAAGAGAAGGCAGCAAAAAGCTTCAGAGGCAACGGGCTACAATTCAGAGGGAAATAAACCTCAGTGCAAAACAAATTAACTGCAAAGAAGACATAAGATAGTCGACTTGAGATTGGGTAGGAGTCCAGACTTTGGGCTAACAGATGAATTAGATTTCAGTGGCCACAGGAGGCATCAGAGGCAAGTCAATGAGTAATCCTTATTCAACCTGGTCGAGCCACGCAGAGAAGGGTCATTTTCTCGGTATCTGGGAAGGCTGTTGCACCAGCTTAATATGTGGGTGTGGTTTAAAAATTTAGGTTTTTAGTTCAGGTTCTTTCTGGATGAGCTCTTTTACCTGCCCACACCTGTAGTATTGAAATACTGAAAGAACTCTTGGAAAAAGTTTGAGTTTTGCCCCTCCCTCGTCTCTATGCTTCAGTGCTAGCATTTTTTGGCAACCCAGTTTCTAAAAAAAAAATGCTTTTGTAACGTGGGTATTTTTCTTATTATGGAAGCAGAATAGTGTCCCAGTCTATGACACCCATGATGAAATCAGCCACTTAATCTTCTTAACTCACATTTTTAATGGTTCTTTTTTAAATAAGACATTGCTTCACAACTTTGTGTTTGAGTTATTTGTGCATATCAGAACAATTGTGTAAGTAGCTTAAGCCATGGCAAATTGCTGATATTCAACCATTTTCTAAAAACAGGAATGACAATTTCATGTGGTTCAATATACAAAAGAACCTTTTTGTAGGTTGACCACCCAAGGAATTGTAACTAACTGGTCAACATACAGAGGTGGTCACCATAATGAAGCAGGCCTACTGTACTGATACATACGTGTGATGCATGGCCAGTCTACAAAAATTAGGTCAACTTAGGAAGGTGGTCAATGTAGGGAGGTGATCAACTATGGAGGTTCTACTGTACTTGAATGATTTTTATTTTCCTCTTTTCCATTCATAACAAAGTTCATTTTGGTTTTATGGTCATCTATGGGCTTTGTAAGTTTGGAAAAAACTAAACAATGTACCTAAGCCTGTGTGTGAGGCCTCAGTGTTACCTAGGCTAGTAAAGGACTTAAGAAGACTTACACCCCCAGCCAGAGAGCTTCCTTAGAGAGGCCCTGGAAGGCAGGTTCTTAGGTCATAGGGTCAAGTTGTAGACAGCAGCTGCCAGACTTAGCAGAATTCTGGCAATGTGTGTGTGAGCTCAGGCCTAGAACCAGCACAGGAGTTTTTAATTTAGTAGAGTTATAAAGGACCTGTCCTGTGACCAGTCCTGCCACATACACTTAAAAGGTGAAGTGTATTTGCATTTTGAGGAGATGGAGAAATAAGCTGGTTGGCTCTTCAGCTGGGGCTTTATAGAGCCTTGCTTCTCTCTTACATTGCTTCTCTAATTTTAGAGGGAAAAAGCTAGCAGTAAACACCCTGATAATGGCTTTTGAAAAGAACCAACCAGGTGGGATACATCCTGGTTGGGAGGAAAATAACCACTGAGTTTCCCTTCCTAGACTTAGTTCAATCCATAGATTATTGTTTCCCCCCCAGTGGGTCTTTTGGTCTTTGTTGCACACATTTTATTCTAACCTACTTAAATGTAAGAAAATGGAGATTTGTCAAGACCAAAACTAGTGGGGAGAACTTCCCACCAGGGTTTCCTATGGGGACATCAGAAGAGAAATGGGGAGAAAATCCGAATTGTGGTTTGTCCTCTTTCCTACAATTGCTGAATAGGACAAAGAATGGTTCAAATATAAACATGATGGATTTGAGATGGTCTGTGGGCAGGAGGCCTATAAGAGAGTACCCAAAATTTGTTTGTAGCATTTGCTCAGTGACCTTACCCCGCCCTTCTTTGTGAGTTGGAAAGTTGGAAACCCAGGCTGGTCTGTCTGTTATTGTCTTCACCACTAACCCCAAGCTGTCAGACATTTCAAATCAAAACTGATTTTTGGTGTTCCAAGTTATTTGATGACAAATAGTCAGTGGATCAAAGTAAGTCACTTTGACTCGTGGTCCTCATTTTTGTTTGTAAGATGTGGAGAATAACCCTCACCTTACCAGGGATCCTGGGAAGGTGAATCCATTCATCAAAGTGGTTTCGCATCTAGAAGCATAATACCTACACTGCATGAAAAAATGTAGGGAGCCACAAAGCCCACATGCCATTCAACACAGGGCCATCTATCTGCTGCCAGGCTGGCATAAAACTGGTAAGCAATGGTACATCCAACTAAGAAAAGTTCTTCTGAAAGAGCAAACCCAAGTCATCTTAAACACATACTTGTTCCAGGTTGAAGGGATGATATACTTTAGCAAACTCAGATGTTCTTGAGTAGCAGTTCTCAACCTGTGGGTTGCGACCCACAGGAACTGTATTAAAGGGCTGTGGCATTAGGAAGGTTGAGAACCACTGTTATAAGTCTGTTTCTCAACCCTGGCAACACGATAGCATCACCTGGCCAGTTTTTTAAATATACATATCAGTGCAAAAACTCTCAGAGATTTGAATTCAATAGCTTCTGGTGAGGCCTGGGTATCTATGATTTGCTTTGCCAACCTCAGGAGTTCTAGTGTGCAGCAGGGTTGATAGCTTTTAGTCTGGTGCTTATAGTGGACCCTATTTAGAAACTTACTTAAAAGAATGGCCTAGCAACTTAACGGGGTTTTTTTGGTTGTTTGTTTTCGATTGTTAATCATGTGGCGTGAAGTGCATGTCAATCAATAATACTACTGACTTAGCAGCTGTGAGAGATTTCCATGATAATCTTTGCAGAACTCAAGAATATGCCCCATAAAGTGCAACTGAAAAGATCACGTTTAAAAAGCCTTCAAGGAGAGAGAAGGGTAACTTAAGGGTATTTACAGGAAGAATTAAAGACCTGTCATCTTTGTTCCTATTTGTAGGTGAAAAAAGGGGGGTTTTATCTGAAGTGAGCTGCTGACCAATCAAATGTAAAGGTTTCAGGCCAACTGTCTTTTAAACAGGAATTTTAACCTGGAATTAAGTTAATAGTTCCCTCTGTAGTCAAACTTTTTCTCTTCTTCTGTCCCCATGCATGAATCCATGTTGGAGTTCTCAGAGTAAATGTCGGCCCGTTTACTGGCAGAGCAGAGTGGAAGGTTGTGGTCATTTTCCACCACCCCGTGGTGCTGGTTTCAGTATAGCCCCAAGTATTTAAAGAGATGCACACTTTTGGATAGCCCTGACAAAGAGAAGATTTAAACTCTTTTTGGAAACTACCAGGAAACCTAAACTTTCTCTCCTAGAGAAGGAAATTTTGAATTTAAATAAGGCTACATTTCTTCCTAAGGAGCACAGGAAGGGCATAAGGACTGTGACCAGCTCAGGTAGTTATTGGGGTGACCAGACAAATAAACATTGATGCCTTGGAGCAAGAAATCACACTGTGGCTTCAAATGTTTCATCAGGCAAACAGCAAGGAGCTCTTAAGGTTGTGTTCTCTGGACCTGAAAATGTTCTCTGTGGTTTGACTGACAAATGAAATCTCAAAACAAAAAACAGTATCTCAGCTAGCAGAACTTTTCAATCTAGAGCAAAGAATTAACAGTTCCTTCTAAAATGGAGGTCTGTTTCACATCACCCACCCCCAATCATCTCTGTCCCTGTCTTTGTCTATAATGGAAGTTAATGTATCACATCAGATATTTAATGTGAACCAAGTGATTTTCAAGTGTAAAAACACCACCAATGCAGTTAGGGAACATTGATAGCAGGGCAATTGAGCAACTCATCAGAGGTGAAAGTTACCTGCTTGGAAACCTACCTTGTACCTATTATAAGTTCTTAAGAGATGTATCAGAAAGGTGATTTTACCATCTGTTATAGAAGGTAATCTGGAATGAAGGTGCTGGAAAGTCACCCTGCTGATCTCTTAAGTACATGAGTTCTTATTCCACTTCAGAAGTGAGGAACTTTACAACTTTTAACACCTGCCTTTTGATGTTGATTCTGTAGCTGACTTAGTAGGGAAACAACTCCATCATGTACATTAGATTTGTATCATTGTGCTCTGGTCCTTCTGTTCTTTAAGTGAGAATCTGCTACATTCTGATACAATAAATTGAAGGAATCTAGCTTCCAAGAGTTGTAGTTTAGAAACAACCCATCTGAATGCTGCTTTCACCACTTTGATACCTGAAAAGACCTTCTCCTTTATTAAAACCTAATAATAACATGTAGAGAAATGCCATAGAAACCAATACTAGTGTTTAGGAAAAACAAGTAGACGCCATTGACAATCCTTTCAAAACAAGACTCAAACCATTTTTTCCAGTTTTAATTTTTTAAATTAATAGACATCACACAGTGCTAGCAAAAATTGTAAAAAGCAAAACCAAAGTTT